GGTGGGTGGCTGAGTGGGAGGTAGTTACTATTGTCCAGTGCCGGGCTACCTGGCTTGAATAGACCTGGCAGTGTAGAGAAATGGTAGAAGACGTCTCTTGTCCCCAGTGCCACTGGCAGGGAGGTCATCAGAATTCTGTGAAATGGGTTAAACGTGGAAACACATGAGGACCCTCCTTAAAAATCTGATCTTTCCCTGCTAAAAAGGGACAAACACAGTTGGCATGTTTGCCCTTTGCCCTAACCCCATCTCCTGTCGCAAATGCTCTTTGCAAGCAAGAGGAAAAGAACCACATGCTCCGGATGACAGGAAGTTCATGGGTGGTGCAAAGGTTGGAGGTTGGAGTTCACTCATAGGGGCCTTGGAAGAAAGACCTGGCGATCAACTTTTTTTTTTTTTTTTTTTAAATCAGTCATTGTAAAGTCCCCTAGTGCACAGTTCTATTCTGACACACATGGGTTCCGAATCTAATTGTTGGCAACTGATTTTAAAGGATGGCAGCACAGACTGATGGGAGCCTGAGTCCCTTCTAATGTCAAGTTGAAGCTGCACTGGCCCTGTTCTTGGAAACTCTCATTCTAAGAGAACAGTAAATTCCTGTTTGGTTACGCCACCGTAGTTGAAGTTCTCTTACATGCAGCTGAAAGCATTCCTAAGTGATCCAGGATATGATGGAGACTAGAGGACAGCAGCGAACATCTGCATTCATCTGCTGTATTCATTTATTCAGCAAACAATTAAGTGCCAGGAACTGTGCTAGCTTGAAAATACATTTAAAAAAAAATATTGATCCAAGCAACAATTGGATCAATTATTGTTGTAGTGGTTGTTAAGTGCCGTCAAGACTGTTCTGACCCATAGTGACCCTGTATAGGGTTTTCGAAGAGCAGCTGGTGAGCTTGAACTGCAGACCTTGCAGTTCAAACAGCTCTGCAGTCTGGTGCATTAACCCACACAAGTTTTTAAGGACCAGCATCACAAAGGTATGTCAATCTTGAATAGAGTCATGACAAAGCGGACAAAAATCCCTGGCCTCCCCTGTGGAGTCTATATTTTAGAGGGGAGAAAAAGACAATACAGACATGACTAAGGAAACTGTCAAGTATTTTGGGAGGTGTCAGGTACTATCAGGAAAAAATAAAGCTGTGTTTTTCACATGTCCTTTAAGGTAGTCCGGGTGTGGTGCTGCAGGGTAATGTACTTGATCGCAAGGTTGGTTTGAATCGCAATGTCAGGTTAGTGGCTTACACCCACCACTCACTCCTCAGAAACACTATTCAGGGTTGCTATGAGTCACTAGCAACACCATATGCACTAACAACAACAGCAACTTGAAGGACCATAACTCACACTCACATACAAGCCTATATCTGCATGCATGCACACACACTGTGGGGTTCAGTGAGCCTCCTGCAATGTGGCTATAACCCAAGTAGGCAAGGAAGTTGAATTCTGTTTGAGGAACATTGTCTTGACAGGGAGCATTCTGAATTGAATAAGATTAGATTTTTCTCTTAAAACGGATCATATCAATTCTCAAGATGGTCCATCTTCAGGAATAAAGGGCCCATGAGATGGCTAGACCAGACATAGGTTGTTGAATTACACCCAGGGATATGTAAACAGATTGAATTGGGGTTTGGAGAAAGAAATGTGTTCTAGGACTAGAAATCTTAAAATAAGAATACACCCATCAAGGAAATAGGGGCACTTCAAGGCGAAAGGGGAATTAACTTTAAATAAGAGTGCTCCCAGTAAAAAAAAGGATTTGTAGGCAACGTTCAGGGCATACTGTAAACCCCATAGTACACAGTAACAGGGCCTTTTCAAGACAGGGGAATAAAACGGCCATGCCTCTTGTCTGCCGCAGTCTACTGGTTTGGGCGCCTGATTTTACAAAATCGAATAAAGAAAACCTCATTCTTGCTAAAAACAACAACAACAAAAATGATCATATGAATGGCCTAAACTAGAAAACTCTTAGAAGAAAACAGAGGGATTAAGCTTTGAGACCTACTTTTTGACAATGGATTCTTAGACATGACACCAAAAGAATTGCAATAAAAGACAAAATCGATAAATTGGACTTCGAAAAAAACTTTAAAATTATTCATCAGAGAACTTTATCAAGAAAGTAAAGACACAACCTAAAGAGTATGAGAAAATATATGGGAGCTACATATCAAATAAAGGTTTGCTATCCAGAATTTGGAGTCCTGGTGTGGCGCTATGAGTTAATGCACCAGACTGCAAAGCCGTTTGAACTTCAAGGTCAGCGGTTCAAGCTCACCAGTCGCTCTTCAAAGGCACTTCACAACAACAACAATCCAGAATTTATAAAGAACTCCTACAACCCAACAGCAAAAAGACAACTCAATTTAAAAAATGGGCAAAGGATTGGAAAAGAAAGCATACAGATGGCCAATTAGCACATGAGAAGCTGCGCAAACTCATTGGTCACTCCTGTGTAGTGTCGTCAAGTTGATTCTGACCCACAGCCACCATGTATACTTTCTGAGGAGTGGCTGGTGGGTTTGAACCACCAACCTTGAGGTTAGAAGTCCAGTGCATAGTCTGCAGCACCACACCAGAACTCTGTTGTTGTTGTTAAGTGTTGTCAACTCAGTTCCAACTTATAGCAACTCTATATACGATTTCCAAGGGCTCCATTGGTGTCTTTTGTTGTTGTTAAGTCCCATTGAGTTAGTTTTGACTCATAGCAAACTTCATAGGGTTTCCAAGGAGTAGTTGGTGGGTTTGAACCACCTATGTCATAGTTAGCAGTCCAGTGCTTATCTTACAGCGCCACATCAGGACTCCCCATTAGTCATGGGTGGTGGTGTGCAGTGTAGTCGGTTCCGACTCATAGCGACCCTATATAAGGTTTCTGAGGCTGTAAATCTTGACAGGAGGAGAAAGCCTCATCTTTTTTCCATGGAATGGCAGGCAGTTTCAAACTGCTTACTAAGTGAAATTAACAGCCTGACTCGTAACCACTACGCAACCATAGCTCCTTCATTAATCACTAGGAAAATGCAAATCCAAACCACAATGAGATGCCACTTCATACCCACAGCTGCTGAGTCCGTTCCAACCCATAGTGACCCTGTATAAGATTACCGGAGTGACTAATGGGTTTGAACTGCCAACCTTGCAGTTAGCAGTCCAATACATAGCCTACAGTGCCACACCAGGACTCCAACTAGGATGGCTGTAATGAAAGAAATGGAAACAGTACATTGGAAACCGGGCAGAAGAGGCTGGACCTCTATTAGCTTAGGATGTGAAGAAAGTAGGACTCCTACATTAATGGTGGGAACAGAAGATGGTGTAGCCACTACGGAAAGCAGTCTGGCCATTCCTCAAAACAATTAAACATAGAAATATTATGGTGCTGGTGGTGTGCCGTGGAGTCGGTTTCGACTCATAGTGGCCCCTGCATATGGTTTCTGAGGCTGTAATCTTCATGGGAGCAGAAAGCCTCATCTTTCTCCCATGGAACTGCTGGTAGTTTAGAACTGCTGACCTTGAGGTTCGCAGCCCTACACATAACCACTACACTATGAGAGCTACTTAGAAATACCATTGTTGTTGTTGTTAAGTGCCGTCAAGTCGGTTCCGACCCATAGCGACCCTGTACAGGGTTTCCGAGGGTATAAATCCTTCCTTACGGGAGTAGAAAGCCTCATCTTTCTCCCATGGAGCGGCTGGTAGTTTCGAACCGCTGACCTTAAGGTTCGCAGCCCGATTCGTAACCACTATGCTACCAGAGCTAACAATTCCACTCCTAAGCATAAGTCTAAGAGAAGTGAAAGCAAAGACTCAGATAAGCGTACATCAATGTTTACTGCAGCACACCAGCCAAAAGGCAGAAGCAGCACAAATCGCCATCAGCAGATGAATGGATAACCACAATGTGGTCTATACATTCAATGGAATAGTAAAAGGAGCTTCTAAGACATGCTGCAAGGAGCTCTGGTAGCGTAGTGGTTACGAATCGGGCTGCGAACC